TCTATTAGAAAGTCTTGCCTTAGCACAACAGCAGCTAAAACCTTCCTTTTGACTCCCCTCCGACCTCAGGGCATGTCTCATTAGCAGATTAAGTCCAGAGTTAAACGAGTCCTCTGGGAGCAGAGGGCGCCTGGGGGGGGGGGGGTCGGCTGTCTCCCCCCCCCCTGCCACTCTAGCTGAAATGATTTTCCTAAGGCCTGATAAGGAGTTCTGTGACTTGCCAGAGGGGAGAAGATCTAGAGATAAGGTTTGTTTTGCAAAAATCTCCTCAGGAATAATTCCTGGGAAAATCTGCACTAAGCTGTGATGTCACAGCCCTTCCCTACTTTAAAGTTAATTAAGAGAAGGGCATGTTAAGTTCCTCTGTCATCATAAATCTATTTTTTAATCATAAATCTATTCTTCCCTGTGTCCGATGGTAGGCAGACTCCTACCCTGCTGCTGCCGGGCTCTCACCACCTCTCGCTAGCAGCCTGGAGCCTCAGTGACTGCTTTAGGTTCCACCTGCCTCCCTGCCTGCCAGCTCCTGGGGTCACTCCGAGGGAACCGCAGGGCAGGAAGGGTCCTGGAGCGGGCCTGCCGCAGTGGGGATTAGCCGCCTGGCTGGGCTCTTGCCCTCCGCAATTTTCTGGTCAGTAACTTTTTGAAAGGAGAGCGTGTCTCCTGCAGTAGGGAGCGGCAAGCAGGAGAGGATGATGAGAGATGAAGGGGAAGAGGAAAGAGGGGCTGGATTCTTTCCAGGACGGAAAACTGTCTGTCCAAGAACTTACCCAAAACACAAATTAAATATTCCTCTATCCATCATTAAATTACCTTGAATGGCTGGCTGTGCAACATCCTGACAGGCTGTGTAATACGGAACACCGTGTCTTTTTTCTCTTTTATTCCTCTGCATTTTGCTCTGTCCCAGACAGGAACTCTTGTGTCTGTAAGAGTCATTCTCTCCAGGACTTACTCTCCAGTTGGAACACGCTTATTGCCAATTTAGAATTAAACTTAAAAAGGAAAGGGGGGACAGACCAGGCTCTGAGACTCATGTCTACATTTTGAGAATTGTGCTTCCTAATAAAATGGACCATTTCCTAAACTGCAGATCTAGACTCCTTACAAATGCAGAGCCCTCAAATCCTAACTAGGGCAGGATAAAGCTAAATGGTGCCTTTCTTGATGTTGACTGAGCAAAGAATAAAATGAGAGTTCCTCAGACGCTTGCTTGCATATAAAGGGAAGTGAAGTGCCAACTGCACAGCTTTAGGCTACCTGGAGCTCACGGGGCATCAGCAAAACTCAGGCCCAGGCCCACAATCATTCATCAGTTCAACAGGGTGCAAAAGTGTTTGTTCAGGAGCATTGAGAACATGCATGATTATCTCTGACTCAGGCTGTCTAGTTGAATGGTTTAGTGAGAGTGTTACAAATAACACACCCTTATGAGTGCCAAGCAGCAAATTGTCAAATTGCAGATTTTGCAGAATGAGGTGAATTCAGGAGAGCTGAGGACTGATAAGTAGTTTAGTAGAAAATCTCAGGGGGCAATAGTAGAGTAAGGACTTAGAAAAAGTTGGTGAAACTGCTGCAAACAGGAACAGAAGAGAGAAGTATTGCCTACACAGAAACGCAAAGCCAAAGCCCTCTGTAAAGGTAGAGCTCAGGAGCAACAGAAGCCTCAATTTATGAGGCTAATGCAGCGACTAAAAGTCTTGTCTCTTTGTAAGATCTGATATCCTAGGAGGCCAGAGGGAAGCCCGAGCCAATTTAATTTGGCCAGATGTAAGAGAGAAATTGAAAGTCTCATATGATCTTGTAGGAGCAGTCAAGCTTGAATTTGGACCAAAGCATGTTCTATTGAGTTTTGAGTTTCATCCATCTGTAAAAAGTAGCAGAAATGACGGCAGGAAACTTCACTTCCCGCTGTGTTGTTAGGGAACTTTCACCTCTCACGAAAGAATGGTCTTTTATTTACTGCTTTTCTCTTACGCAGGCTGAAGCCTTCACCTGAGTGTGAACAGTATCAAGGACATGAAAACTTCCCTTGGAAAAAAATCAGTACTGAAGTTAATGCTGTCAGCAGGATAACCAGCAAATTCTCTCTTCCCCAGATGGCCCCGATTTTAATGGGGTCACCTTGCAAGACTTGCCTGTAGGATATTAAAGGTCCCAAAGTAACTGTTGGGGCATAAAAGATGTTATGTCCAAAAGTTGCATCACAGACAGATGTTCCTTTGACAGGTCGTCCTTTGCTTAACTATTCTTCCATGCATATTTTCTGACATTCAATGCATCAGTGGCAACTCTTGGGAATAGGAGCCTGTATGGATGTTTGAAACAGATTAAAGTGAAGAGTGAGGGATTTTATTTTGCAATAGCAGTGTGAAACCCTGGAGCGCTAGGTATGTGAGGTTAGTTTCTTGCCTTACTTCCCTTGTCTGACACCTTATTTCTCTCTCTCCTCTTCCTCTCGTACCTTCCACCACTCTTCAACTTGTCAGTTAATTTTTTCATGTCTGCATTTGACTGATCCAGTCCTACTGAGAGACTGAACTTCACACTGATGCAAACTCTGTGGGCATCAAACTTGATGCTTACAGTTGACATTTTGTAGTGTTTTTTTTCTCCCCTTTCCACAGAGATGTAGGCTGTGAAAGAGAGAGCAAGTAAGTGTATATGCTTATAGTTGAACAGTATTTTGTAAATATTTTCCGAAAGCTTGTGAAATTTCTCATGTGTTCTTGATTTCCCTTCAAGTCTGCAGAGCAGGCATAAGAAATATCACCCAGTTTAGCTCCGAGTTCAAAAGTGAGTAAATAGCCATCAGTTTTACAAGCTTTGTGTAGATGCCAAAGCCTGATGGCCAAGGGTGATATGCTGAGACTTTCGAAGACAGGCCAATACACAAGCCACATTTTTAGCCATATGTTTTCTTACAATTTTTAAGTCTGGTCACAGCTTTTTCCTTGAAAATTACTTCCCCTGAGATAAGATTTCCCATGAAATGGCTCTGGCATATTTATACATGCTCTGAAGTTTCTGGTTAACCAACTCGTTAGTCCTTTGGTGATTTTGAGAATGTAAGTCTATCACTCTATATGTGATTATGTTTACAGATGTGCCAATGACTTATAAAGGGGATTAATTGTAAATTTAACTCCTTTAGGAAATGGTGGAGGACCCAGGTATTTCTGGATTTTAGCCTTGCTTAGTCGCACTGGAAGAGCTCTTTGACCCTGCCAGAGATTAGTTTTAGTACCAGTTATGAGATAAGCTTAACTAGTCCTTAAAAATAAGCATGTTAAAGCTCTCTGCAAGAGATTTGTTGTGGGGAGGGAATACTGTACACCCTAATTTTTTATGTTTATCTTGCTGTTATTAACTTAATTGCAGGGATTGAGTTATGAGCAACAAAGTAATTTAGACTTTTTTTCCCGTTCTTTCAACTTTTGGAAAACTCAAAGATTATTAAATCTTTAAAGTTTAAGTGTGCTTGTTTTTAACCAATTAAAAATCAATATACCAGTCAGATTCATACTCAATACACAGTGGTATGGGAAGCAACTGTAATCCTCGATCACAGGTGATAAGGCCACTGCTTGGAAGTAGCATCATTCTGAGAGCAAAAAAAAAGCTGTTTCCATTTTCAAAGCCCGTTTTCCCGGTCCCCTGATCAGAGTAAACCTGCATTTGACTATGTGAATGTCCTCATTTATTTTTTAGTACTAAATAGTAATTTTGCATTATCAATGCTCACAATTGCAATTGTGAGCAGTAGCAACCTTTTCTTCTTTCTCTTTTGGATCTTGCTGTTTGACTCGCGGGGCAGTCAGCTGATTTCAGTAACATACTCCATTCAGTAATTTATTTTTTGTGGAATGAAAAGTGACTCACCAGCCATAACATGACGAATGCTGAGAAGACGTAGCTTGAAGAGCAAAAAGAATATATTGGTTCTGTATAGATGTCTTAGGTAACAGGGAGATGAAATAATATTCCTTCCAGTAGCCTTAAAATAAATAGAAAATAAGCTATATACTAGGAAAAAAATATTTTGGTTAAATGTGTTTAGCTGTAGATTAATGTTTGAAAGACAGTCCTGGAAGCACCATCTCATACTTGAGCCTAATATTGTTGTCTCACTGGCAAAGATCATACTGGATAAAGCCCCACAATGAAAGTTAATGAGCCTGGTAACTTTTCAAGTTATTTCTATTTCTGACCTCCAAGATGGTGTAGAAATACAGATAGGGTTGCGCTGGTTATGTCTCCATTATATATCAAATCCATGCTGTATGATTTGAACATTTTGTTTCCTCAGATATTCAGAATTGTTCTTTGTACAAGAGGTATTGTATCATTTTTACTGTGTTAAATAGGAGTGGCAAGCGAAATCTTGCATATATTAGTTGCAAAATAAATTCATGCTTGAAATTTCTCACTGTAAATGTCTGTATTAGGATGAACCTCTTGTCTGAAATGCACCTAGGACACCAGCCTGCAAACAGCATTGCAAATAGTTACATACGATATGCTGAAAAAATATGTTTTACTGCAAAGCAGATACTATCTCCAAATATAGTACAAGAAGTAGATAACATACCAGATATACAGGAAGGTCTGTTATGTTAGAATAATTTTATCTTTCTCTGTGTGTGTATAGCAAAAGCAGGGATAGATTTGAAATTTCGTGATACAGAAAATTTGCCAAGTGTTTCATATATTTGTTATGTTAGGCTAAAGATCTAATTTTTTTGTGTTAGCTATTGTGCTGCTCATAAAGAACCTGTAAACAGAGTATCAGCAGTGGGATAAAGCTACCACTATGATACTCAAGTCCTGTCCCCCGGTAATAGAAAAACATTGTTAGTCTTAAATGAAACAGTGCAACAGGGCTGGCAGTCAAAACATATCAAAGATATTCATCAAATTGTTGTAGTTAGAAGCATGTTTTAATTATTTTCGATTTGAAGCAGAAGCAGTTTGATTCTAACAAAAGTTTCTTGCTGCAGATCATCCTGTGGGGTCGAACTGAGAAATGCCTGAAGGAGACCGCGGAGGAAATCAGGATGATGGGGACAGAATGCTATTATTTCATTTGTGATGTAGGAAATCGAGAGGAGGTCTATCGGCAAGCCAAAGCTGTGCGAGAAAAGGTTAGTGTCTCTGGAAACACTGTTTGTGGGCAGAACTTAGTAACGACTCATATTTGATGAGAAAATACATATATATTGGCAAATTGGGAAAAAAGAAGGGTGACCATCCAGATTAGGTTGTACAAAGTCTAGGTACTTGTTTTAAGTGATCCAGAAGGCTTATAAGACCTATAGGGAAGAATGTCAAAACCTATGAAAATAATAGTGTATTTAGGCAATAATAGATATTCAGATATAATGGTGGCTGCTGATTCATGAGGAGAGTGGTAAATTGTAACAAGTCATTTGCTTTTTTTGCAGGTGGGTGATATCACTATCCTGGTGAACAATGCTGCTGTGGTCCATGGTAAGAGCCTGATGGACAGCGATGATGATGCACTGCTCAAATCACAACATATAAACACCCTGGGACAGTTCTGGGTAAGATAAGCTCTTGTATCACATGTATTCAGAACTGGGAATGAGAGTGACAGATTACAGCCAGTAAATACTTGGCTGCTACTAGGTCTTTCTAAATGATGCTTGGTAAAATCAGTCTGACGTGAAAAGCAGACAGAAAAAACAATGTGAGAGGCAAAGGCCAGAGGAAAGAAGTCCAAAAAAATGTAATTTTTCCAGTAGTAACACAGTATTTGATGCTCTTGTATCAAATCACCATTCTGTGATTTCTGGTAAAGGATTGGATTTCTTTTGAGAGAGCCTGAGCTCACAGAAGATTGTTTTCTGTACAGTGATGTGTATGGACCATCAGAGGAGCATGAGACTACATTGCTCAGGGAATTGCTAGTGTGAAGCTCATTCCATTTTGAATTACATAATAGTGAGCATCTTGTGATTTCATCACTTTGTTGAAGACTTTATCCTCTACAAGTTCTTAAACATACAAAGCGTTCTGTTCATGGCCTTTATCTGTGGGTACTGCTTACTTATGTGCTAGGAAAGATTTTGTTTTGTTTCTACGCAAACTTTGCCTGTTTAGAAACTTTCAGAAAATGACAAAGCAACAAGGTACTCTCCCATTCCTTTCCTAGCATAATGAACGCCACAGTTTGGCTTGTTGTCTCCGTGGCACCTTATTTTTTTCTGTAACGACTGTCTTTGTTGTCTCTCTGCTGAGCAAACTTTTTTTTTTAATGTTTTTGTTAACTCTGTTGTTCTTCAGACCACCAAAGCGTTCCTGCCAAGGATGCTGGAGTTGCAGAATGGACACATTGTTTGCCTGAACTCTGTCCTGGCGTTGTCAGCCATCCCTGGTGCCATTGACTATTGCACCTCCAAAGCCTCGTCGTTTGCCTTCATGGAGAGCCTGACCTTGGGGCTGCTAGACTGCCCCGGCGTGAATGCCACAACAGTCCTGCCCTTCCACACAAGCACAGAGATGTTTCAGGGCATGAGAATCAGGTCAGTCCAGGGGAATTAGAATAAAGCATCTCATTTTAAATGAATCATCAGAATACACTCCTAATTAATGCTTCATTTAGTTAAGAGAATTTGATGTCTCATTTGGCTGCCTGGGAACAGAGGGTCACTCTAGGCCACCTGGGACTCATCAGACTGGTTCCCTCAGTTTGCTGGCATATTCAGATAGCCTGCCTGTACTGAGCGAGACATTTGCTTCTACAGAGAAAACTGAAAGCTATTTTTTCCTTAAGTGTATTTGGACCATATGCAACCACCAGAGAGGGAGGGGAGGCAATCTGAAAATTGAGGTCATTCAAAAGAAGCAATCTACAAATTACTTCAGAATTAGCAGTACAAATTCCTTCTTTATTCACTGAAGTACTTAATTCTTTCCCACTGAAAGGAATGACAGCCGCTTGCTGAAATAAGGCTCTCAGTACCTCCTTTTTACCTATAAAAGAACAAGCTAAATTTGAAGACTAATGGCTGACCAAATTAATTTTTTACAATGGACAAAATAACCTATTAATGTACCTCATGCTCTCTTAGTCAAGAAAATAGGCAGTGTCAGTCTTACTGCTGGAGCTGGGAAAAGCCTTATGTTTGGTATTAAAAGCAATGGGGGAAATATTTATCTTTCGCCCTTCAAGAATTTGAATCAAGCAAAGAGCAACAGAGAGAAAAACACTAGCGCTGAAAAGACAGCATTTTGGTGTTGGTTTGCATACAGTTTAAGAAAATCCCTGAATCAAGATTCTGAATATACTCTGTCACTTCTCCCTAAAGGCACCAACATGTACTTTCTTAACTGTTTAGCTAACCCAGCAGTACTGGTTGGAACTGGGCTTTCTGCTTTCCAGCTTTCTGGCTGGAACTGGAACTTTCTGCTCCTTCCAGCCTACTTTGGGGCATGTTTAAATGCCAGTAACCAGTGATAGCTTAGTGAGTAACAGGACTTGGACAGTGATAACTTAAAGAAGGAGTTTGGTTAACAAATAATTATTTTATTTTTTACTTTATTTATTCAGGTTCCCTAATCTTTTTCCTCCTCTCAAGCCAGAGACAGTGGCTAGGAGGACAGTAGAAGCCGTTCAGATGAATCAAGCCTTCCTGCTCCTTCCATGGACAATGCATGTTCTTGTCATCCTAAAAAGGTAAGTATTTCCTTTGCCCAGCAATAGCCTAGCCAGTTAGGCCAGACTGATTTTACAGTCCTCTGTGGCTGTGCACCCAGGCAAACCTGAGTCTGACTGTAACGCAATATCCAGGATGAGATTGGGTCATCCCTTCCCATGAAAGACACTCATGGAAGTAAAAGGGAGAAAACTTTCTGAGATTCCCTTTGTAGATGTTTTCCCTGGGTATAACTCCTCTATGAAACCAGCTTCACTCCCAAAATTTGGATTCCTGAGGTCTGAACTGGTATTTGTATCTAGGAAATTTCTTAACAATTAACATATGCACGTAGTTGATTTTGATTTAGTAAGCCACTCTTTGGACTCCAGGCTTTATACTGTGCAGGATTTCTGTACAATAAGGTATGTACATCACAGCTGTATGTAGAGAGCATTGTTTGTGTTAAAGCAATGAAAGTATTAAAAAGTATTTTTGTGTACGATTAGGACAGGAATTTTAAAGTCCCTAAGGAAAGAAAGTTAAAACTTCATATCCTGAAACAACTAAAGAGAAAGGACATTTGAAATTGTGTTTCCTTTTGCACTAAAGCCTTTGGAAAACCAACTTCAATCAGGAACTGAAAAGAGGCCATGAGATTTCTGTGGAAAATAATTACAATGTTGCATTTCAAACAAGAAAAATTAATTCACAGTACATGCTTTGCTCTGACTGTAAAATTTGGGATACTCTCAAAAGTTCCCAGAATTCCTACAGATTGAAAAAGGGCTCTTCTCCTGTATTGTAAGAATTAATCATTTATTTTCCATTACAGTTAGCTGTCAGGAAATTACATCTATATCCATACGTTATAACAAGGAGGCCACATGCTTAGCAGAAATAGATAGCAAGTTAACCGGAGAACTCAGTTTAAATTTGTGTATTTTAGAGTACAATATTCTGCACAATATTTGGGAGGAATAAAACATGATGGTATCTTCCAAGTTACAGTTTTTACAGACCTTTTTGGATAAATATTTCTGTAGAGAAAGAGTGACTTGATGTAAGTGTCTCCCTTTAGGCATGCTTACAGTGGGATACTGATACGTTTTGTCTGTGCACTCACTAGCTGATTTTTGAGAATATATATACTTATGTATGTGTGTACATAAATGCATATTTACACATCCTCTTATTAGAATAGACTAAGCGGTTTGTCTGATCTGCTTATTTTCTTTCTGCTTCTCCTGCAGCATTCTCCCTCAGGCAGCACTTGAAGAAATCCACAAGTTTTCTGGGAGCTACACATGCATGAACACTTTTAAAGGACGAACATAGACTTGATGGTGCAAGGACTATTCTTCAGTGAAACCAACACAAGCATGAAAATCCTGACAAGACTGTGAATCAGCAGTCTTGGCTTTTAGCCTGTTCATGTGACTTGCGCTGCTCTGAGGCAACACATTTCTTGCAGGTCATATCCATAGTAACATGACCTTTGCACAGGATTGAATGACTAGACTATGGACCCTTGGAAAGAAAAACAAAAAGTGTGAAATGTTTATATGATGTTTAATTCTTTAGAGTTCAATTGTTAAATCTACTCATAGTTTTAAGATGTAATTTTTGTTTCTAAAGTGTCCGTAGGCTGTCTCAGCTGAGAGGCAGCACATCACACCCCATACATACTTTATCCCCTCTCTTCAGAGGAACTGCAATTACAAACTGCTACTGGTTTCATTTCAGCTTTTTGAATGCGGAACTTAAAAAGTACTTTGAAGAACTAAAAGTTACGGACACTTAATGGAAGCTTCCTTCCGTTTCTTCACTTTACATCCCTTGATGAAGCTGTTCCCAACTCACATCATGGAAGGAGAAAACTGTGGAGCAATGTTTTCTTTGCTAAAGGCCACTCAGGACTTCTGTCTGGAAGGACTGTGCTGGGCCCAAGAAAGCTGTCTTACTTCACCTGTGAAGGCTGGAGAGGAATGCTCAGTCAGAAGAGCAGACGGTTTGAATAGCGAAAGATTCTTTCTGTCACTGAACTCATATATGAAATTTAATTGTCTTTCTGAATATTTTTGTTCATTTACGATAAAAAAAAAATATATATTTTTAGCATTAATCCCAGATTGCCACGCATGTAGGCAGCATCACATTGGGGATGAACTAAATCTAGAACTAAAACTAGAGCCTGCTTGTACAAACATACATTCACTGACATAATCCATGCAGAGGAAAATCCATTGTATCAATCTGCACAGTGAAGTAAGTGGAATAATGCTCTAAAAATAGAAGAGACGGTACCGTAGTGCTCATGAAATGTGAAGTTTGGAAGCACAGTTAGCAAAGACCTGATTAAATGCACGTTGAATTCAACTGGGAATATACCCGTTGTTTTTTAGGGGCATTGAATCAGACACTGATCAGCCAAAAGTGATAAATATTGCTTGGACTGAAATGCCAGAAGCAGTTAGACATTATTTATTTTTGTAATGATATATTCTCTTTGACAGCCTAGTAAGAGCAATACTGCATTCCTATGCCAGATGCAGTGTGCAGCACTAGGCATAGTAATGTAGTTGAAACATACTGGAACACTACTAAAAGAGGAATTAATACAATTGCAATACAGGAAAGTAGCAAGCCTAACTGGAGAACACCTGAATGAAGCGCCTCAAGGAGGACCATGTGGTTAAAGTAAAGGAGTGAATTTAGGGCTCCTGACTTTAATTTCGAGCTTTTCCATAGACGTCCTGTGTGACCTGGGGCAAACTGCATAATTTCAAGGTGTACCCTGACCTGCAAAGCAGATATT